ATTGATTTACATTTAGATCATTTTAATAAATCACCTAATTGAATAAAAGAAAAAAGTAAAAATACTTAAGTTGTAAGGTTGTAACAAATGAATAAATGACGGAGATTAATGTTAACAAATGAATACAAATCTTCGCAGGATTACGGCCTCGCCATAATATCCTTTGATGTCATCAATAATTATAACAATTTCTTTTGAATAAACCTGTACTAGGAGATGAGTCGTCTCTCTGTCTGAGTCCTTGAAGCGTTTCTACGATTTATTTTGAACTGAAAGTGGAAATACAATAACATGTCTCTAACAATTGAAGTATTTACGTGTAGAGCCACTCGATCAATATCTTATAATCTCCGTCGATAAAGTTTCAAGATCAAAGCACTTCTGCCTCGCGGCGATCAGACGCCCCTTCGCCGATAAAAAAATAAATTTATATTGATTTTCGTAGATTAAGTATAATCTAATCTATTGCATTTCAGTATGGAACTGTTTTAAATTCTAAGTACGATGACGAATACGCATTAACATTTTTTTTACATTTTTCATGATTCAGGGGCGGGGCAGTGTCTCCGCCGTAGCGAGCATGGTATTTTATTACCAGGTAAATAGAGTTATTGATTTATAATCATAAAGACAAACTGCTAAAATGTTATATTTTAGCTTTGTACTTGGAGTTTAAAAAATCAACGATGAATAAATCTCGAATTCCCGAACAAAGACTATTTTTAGGACATGAGCAACTCTTGTATCTAACATGTTACCTGTCACCCGCAATCCTCGATTGCGAGCGTAGACACATAATCAACATGGAACATCCTACGCTTGCAGACACATTATATATGGTACATTGACCTCATCTATATCTATACTGAAATTGTAAAGAGGAAAGATTTGTATTTGTATATATTGAAATAACTCTAAAACTACTGGGCCGATTTCAATTCTTTCACCACTAAAAGCTACTTTATCAGTGAGTAACATAGGTTATATTTTTTTTTTAATTCACGCGGGCGAAGTCGCGAACAACAGCTAATCGTTAAATATAATGTTTACTTCTTCATAAACTTAAACATTGTCATAGCTATCATCCATGTAGCCAGTTCCCTAAAATAAGGTTACGACTGGCACTTTTTGGGCTTTATTAAGTTTAAAAATAAGTTAATGCTTTTAAATTTTACTTGTACTTTACAAAAGGTTGATAATTGTTTTATACACGCTTAAAGATAATAGAAAGTAAAAAAATAACCGATTTCAAATTGTCATATGACAACATTACGAAATAAGATCACATTGATATTGAAACTAAAAGGTTGTTTATTTCATAATATCTGCTGTACTGAAAGTTTGTGTTATGTTGCTTAATATCTAAATTGCAATGTATTCGACTATATGCATATAGAAATTATTGTACTGTCGAGAGGTGTCGGTTGGCGGGAACTGTGGGTGTGTGTCGGCCTGTGTTGCCGCCAACTGGGTCGTGTTGTGAAACAGAGAGAGGTGTCGGCAGTCAGAACGAACAGATGTATGCAACACGAACACAGACAAGCCCGCAGGCGGCGGCTGTCTCGTTGCATTACCCACACAGATTTAGAGGAGGTATGCTTTGTCCTTCAGCCTCTGATATTTATATTGTCTATCTGCGGTATTCAAACTTTAAATTTTAAGGAACAGAATTCCTTCATAGTGCATGAACAACTATGTACAATGGTTGTATCGAAAATTGAGAAAAAGCAGAGTGCTTTTCTTTAATGTTTTCATTGACTTTAAAAGGAAAAAAAAATTAACAAGGAACTTGAAGAATTTGTTTGTAAGCTTTAAAACAAAATTGACTTATTTTATCGATACCATCTAGGAACTCCCGGGGTCTTTTGATTGATTATGTGAACATGTACCCATGTTTTGGAAAAAGAAGTGAAGTAATAAGTTTACATTACACAAAATTACGCCGTCTCTACACGCCTTCGTAGAAAAAATAAAAGTAAGAACAAGCGCAAATTATCATACATGTATTTGCAATTAAATTTCCGAGCGCCTTTGTATCAGATTGGTGTGTACATTTTATTTAATTAAACAACTGACCTATCTACTTATGAGATAATTAAAACATTTTTATTAATTGCGTACATGTTTATATGAAAAAAAAAATATATAAACACTTGATAAAGTTAATTCACTTGTTTACTCAAAGATGTATTTACAAATGTAATGCTTAACATTTGTAAAACATGTTTTTTAGAATTTTTATATGTGGTTTTTCAATCCGCGACGACTTAGAAAGGCCGAAAAAAAAGTTCGATTTAGATTAATTTTTGGGAAGTCATAATAATTTTCAGGTCGATACCAAGGATCGAATATTGATTTCGGTCGAATATCTGTACGAAGTATTTCGTGCGTATATTGTAAAGACAAAGGTTTGCACCGGTCGGCGCGGTCAGTGGCCGAGGCAGAGGCACATTGCATGACTCTCAACGCCTTCAGAAAGCCACACCATAAATAACCTTCTAAAGTAAGTACCATATACGTTTTCCTTCGAACTTTGTCTTATGTTGATATCAACCACTTAACCACATGCTAATAAATTTTCATAATCATTCTGCTGTACAATAAGAAACAACAGCCAGGATTGACAAATAAGTTAAAAAAAAACAAACGAGTAAATGACCTTAATACAGAAAAGGTGAGACCTCTTTACAAGGATCAATCTGTGTACTGAACACAAGACAACTTTAACTTATACAGGCCGGAAATTAAAAAAAAAACTATAATCAATGATATAGATTTATTTGTTACGACTGAAAGTAATAATCGACAGTAACCAGGTAGTCAATTATTTCTGCCGCATTCCTCTCGTTTCCTAGCACCGTGACCGTTTAAAAAAAACTGCATCTAGCTCAATGTAATTTTAAAATCGAATTTTCGAAAGCACGCAACATCAGTGATATTTCATTTTGCGCCATTGAATTGCAAAGTAACCATGGGTTTTCATGGCCGAAGTACCCGTGCATATTGGCATGTCAGTGTACTTGGAGGAGGATGACATTATATTTTCAACGAGGAAAATCACTAACACTATGGCCCGACCGGGATAAGAAAAACCTTCGTCAATTTACGGAAAAATATGTATCTATGTAATTTCTTTGCGTGCGTTGAAAACTGATGTAATAAAGAAGCCGATTGCACGATTTTTGTATTATCTTGATATCATTAAATTTACTAATTATGGTAGTTCCTATGGTATCAATCTTTGTCAACACGACAAGATATTTTCATTTTCTTAATTCTCGGTATTTGAGACTAGGGACAATTAAGTCGATACTTTGTAAATTATGTTTATTGTAAAAAATATTTTAACAGCAAATAAATCTATCCATATTCAATCAAAACGCATCAAAAGGGTTTTTATTTAAAAGGCATGTTGTGGAGGCACTTTGTAAAATAAATGTCGAGACGCTCACGTATGCCAGACAAAAGCGCCTACTAAACAGCTTTCAAATGCGATGACTATCCTTGACATTTATTCAGAAAAAAGGTTGATGAATCCTTTGTTTAAATTTGTTCTCAAATATAGCAACAGGTTATAAGACTTAACTCTATATAACACAAACATATACATACTTTAAAATGTAAGGCATAAGACATCTTACGCAAATATTAATATGTCTAATTTCGTCAGTCCTATTTTACTCGTACTTCCAGTGCGTTTTATTCGTTACTATTCTACTCAGCTGGTTCGACCTCAGGCTCATCAACTACTAAAGAGAAAAGAGAAGACTTTAGTTCCGCTGTAAGGAGTACAAAAGATGAATTATCGCTTAAGCTCAGAATTGATAAGATTTTAACATAACCTTCTTATACTGAGTTAATTTATTTAAAAGAGCATCTAGTTTTTTCTACTAGATTTACTCTGACAGGGATAGCGCGTCCTCCACTATCCATCTGATGACTAACAACCAAAGATTTAAGTTTGGCGGCTTTGATTGGATCAATTGAAATGGACCTGTTGTGAACACAATTGTAACTTCCACTTCAAGAAGACGATAAAATAAATTCTTGGAATTATTTTATATAAAAAACATATACAGGCGCATAACATTTTATCTTTTATTCTTCGATAATATAACATAGTCGGAAGACCGCAATCTGTTAAAGTGATCAATCGATAAGATATTGATCTGATTATTTAATATTTTCTTTATAGTAATAAATATATAAATCATCATCATCTTCCTCCTTATTCTACTCCCGTAGGGTCGGCGCAGCAGGTTTTTATCCTCTACATATCTCTATCTCATACTCCATCATACGCCATCTCAGTCATCACTTCCTTCTTAATCATGTCACCTTTCACGTAATCCATCCATCTCTTTCTAGATCTACCTATACCGGTATGCCCTTCCACACTCATAACTAACGTTCCTTTTGTTAATATAAATATTTTTACTTATAGTTAAATCAGGCAAATAATAATATCTGTGGCAGTCTGGCGACTGCGGCGAAAATTCCACGGCGGTTGTACGATGACAGAATAACAAACAGTTTAGCGGGGCTCTGTCTGAACTGTAACAGTACAGTCACAAATGGTCCAAAATTACCAACTTCTACTTTGACTAGAAAGTGATGACACATTAACATGCATTATTTGAATTCAGTGTTGCATCAGAGTTGCATGTCCAGATTTGATAATCATCAAGACTACAAGATTATCCTCTTAATGATTTTGTCAACGGTTTTTACTTATTTTAACTATAAGTGGAGGCAGAAAGTAAATAAAAGGGTGAGCGCGTAATTTTTAGCGTCACAGGATCTGAGAAAAGTCAATAACGACTTAAAACTTATATAAAGTGAGAAGAATTTATTGAAAGGGGTTTTGAAAATAGTTATCGTTACCGTAAATGGTACCAAATATCATATTAAAGAGAAAAGAATCTATAAAAAGTAATAAATAGGTGGCAGAGATTATATAAAGATAAAAAACGAAAGAAAATAAACAAGTTACCTTTATTATTTATCAGCTTGCAATTCACCTACACAAAAAAAAAATTGTCATCTCAGTAGTTTTCAAAGACATTAAAAGAGATGACTATGTTTTTGTACAATTTTGTACAGCTGTTGTAAAGTATTACCCTACGGATAAATGTAATGTTATTTCCAAGCGAACTAACGGTATACATAATTTTGTGGTTACTCATCTTTCTCTTTAAGTTCATTACATCATTTCCTTTACAAAGTCTTGTTGAATGTGTTCACGTGAGATAAATAATACTTGTGAGGCTACTAACTATATAAAGATTTTTCACGGAAGATAAAATGCAAACGGAAAAAATCAATTTCAAAAACCTCTTGGCAAAACTAGCCATTAGAATGAAACTTTTCTAAATATCCACGATCCATTGTAATTCGAAGATATTTACGAAGTAAATATATGTAATAGCTATATCAATAAAATGTCACACGTAATCTTAATTTAATGAAAAATTTATATAAAGTAACATCATCATTTAGTAAGTTTTTCTGAGATTCGCATGTGTAAGTTAGGAGCATTTGGTTAATATCTTTCCCGAGCATGGTAAAGGACTTCTTTTTTAATTTCCTACTGCTTAATTTATTTAATAGAGTATTACCTAATAAAGAATAATCTAAAAGCCCAACAAATATAAGAACAAGAGATTGTGCTCGTAAATAAGGATACACCAGTCTTCAGAAATTATCGCGCTCGCCTTGGACCAGCTTCCTGTCAACTAGTGCTGCATAAGGCGCCACGAGTGAAGGGAGCGAGTATACAGCTACAACCTTTGTTCGATATCCACAGAGAAATGTTGCGGAACTGGTCTATGACCTTCAGCAGGAAAAGCACACAACCTTGCTGCGTCTCGTTCTAAAATCTTCCGTAAAATCACGTTAAAAAGTCACTAGTTTAACTTGTTTTTAATTACATAATCTAGGTTTGAATATGTATTTCTAATAAGACTACTCGACAAGGAAAGGAGTTACGAGGTGTTATGAAAAATAAAAGTTACATCAACGTAATTATTGCTCGTCAATTTAATGGTTCATGTGCAGTGGATTGTAATTAGAATATTTGATCATAACATTAGCTTACCTTTCGCAGTATCAAAGGTTGCATTATTTGTTGGTTAGTCATCTAAAGTTCAAAGATTTTATTTGTCTGCAACATCCTGGCATTTCAAACTTAAATTATTTTAAAAATAATATTTTGTAGAGATTTTAATATTACTCCTTCTCGTCTAGCAATTAAATTACTCTAAGCTGGAAATTGGAATTATCGGTTAAAACTGAACATTGAAAAGTAAAGTCAATTTGAACAGGTTATCGATGTGTTAGTAGTGTTGAATCTTAATCATTACCATAATAAGATATTATAGACGTCAGTTATAAATTATTCCAATTATGGCCAAAGAAAAATAAAATGTTCAAGTTTGAAGTAAATAATTTACTACTGCGGTCCTCAGAATAGAAATTGGCCTTATCAGATTTAATATTAAGACAATAAGTTATTATAAGTTTTCTAAATTTGATACTGACTGGCTTAATTATTAACTCTAGAAGTAAATAGGAAAATTAAGTTAGATATTTTGGCCCACTGTAGGTCCTATATTTTAAGTTATATGCTTTTTTAGTCGAATAAAACAGGTAAGAAAATTACAGGATTGTGAGGTAATTTGCGAGTCGCTTCACAACTTGTCGAACCGGTCCTCAGATTGCCGCCGCGATTGAAAGTTCATGTCATGACATTTTGGTGTCAACTCTGTAATATCAATATTTAATAATGTTATTTTATTTTAAATTAATATAAGAGGAATAATAAAACTAGCTGAGCATATCAAATGAAAAAAAAAATAAAAAAAAATACAGAGATTAATTCTTTTGTCTAATATTAAATGCGTAGCGTAATCCAAAGCAGCTAGCGCACTCATTTGCCAGACCTAGATGCGCCCTAACAATACCTTAACAAAGCTATTTGTGTACTGATCACGCTTTATAAGATAAGTACCTATATTGCTGAAAACATCTGTAGAAGAGATAAGGACTTGACTGAAATCTTTGAGCGAGTGTAATGCGCATCATTAAGAACAAATCCGTAATTTTTAAGAACAAGTAACAAAATGCTCTTAGTCCTGACTATGCGAGTGTTCACTAAATATTTAAAGCATTATGATTTTATTCTAGTTTAATTAAAATTGTTAAAGATGAGATTATAATAAACTGTTCAAACGATTTATTTAGATACATTTTTGGATTTCTATAATTGCTTTGCTATAATGAATAAATAAATGCAGTAGTCTTGTTCCGATACAATTAATACCGCTGTGTTGCGATATCAATAATGACAGCCAAGTTAATTACCGACTTACTCATACATAACTTGGCATGATGAAACACTTTTAGATTGTAATCGTTCATTACGGAATTTCTAAATAGCTTAATTGAGTTGATTTTTACCTTACGGTCAACAAAATTTTATTAGAAGTCTGTACTTTTTAAAAATAGCTGTAGCAAGAGATCAACCTATGTGACGAGTATTGTTCCTATAGACAACTAAGCATGTTCCTGTAGACAACTAAGCTAAAACCATAGTCATTTAAATATCAAAATATTTAAGCGGTCCACGTCTAATTTAGTAAATGGTAAAAGTCAAAATTCAAGGTGAGCGAGTGACACGGCATCCGGTTCGCTGTAAATCTACCGATGTTGTCTCGATTTTATTAATCACAAGCTTTCGTCCCCGACTCTGTCTAGATGGAATTTAATAAAAAAACAAAAGTGAGCAGCTTCTGTGTTCTTCCGGGTTATGCTCTACATCTGTGCCGAATTTCATGGACGTCCTTTAAACAGTTTAGGCTTCAAACTCCAAACTCTAACAAATATCTATCCAGCCATCTAAACTTTCGCATTTATAATATAAGTAAAAAAGGTAGTAAGTTGACATATGCCGTTAGGTATTTGAAATATAAATTCTACTTTAATTTTCAATGTAATCAAAAAAATGAAAGCCTTAACCGTTTACTTTCTAACCATGTAGAGTGTTTTCGTTATATTTTCTTTTATTTTAACTTAGATTATAAAATTGAAGCAGGTGCCTGGTTATTATTTAGTAGCAAATATACCAATGAATTTCTTTGACTATAGAAAGACGGACTAGGCAGAGAACCGGTATTTAATTCCGGCAGTCATAACAGAATACTTTGACATATAAAAAACTACCTTTTTTACCGAAGGGAAATGCGTTACGCATATTCCGTGCCACGGGGCAGGCACGAGACTTATGTGGGACTCTCTCCCCATAGTGGGGGGCATACCTCATTAAACCCCTCCGTTCCGTCCTGGCCATTGTGTGGGGCGCCACGAGATCGCTTTCGCTTGCCACCGCGACGCCATACTGAGCGCCCCGGAAAGTGGCCCTCGGTGCGTCCCCACGAGTTGGGACGCTGCGCCCTAAGGCGCCCCTCGGAAGACGGCACCGTGCAATTCAGGCTCGGGAACCCCGCCTCGCCCGCTGGTGCCGCGGGGTTTATAGAGCCTGCCTACTACCTATGCGTCCCGTCCCAAGGCAGAACCACTTTCCCTTCCCATCCGTTGCTTATACAAAAAGGGTCGAATGGGAAAGAGTACTAAAATTCAACTTCCGGCACGCTCATCAGGCGACGTGGAAATGCTTCCACATCACATGGTGCAAAATCACGACAACGAAGAACACTTTCTTCTGAGTTGTCGTGATATTTTACCATGCGATTCGGCACATTCGTGCGAAGATGTTAAAGAGGGCCTTTCAATTATTTAGTTAAAATTTTGTCACTTTGTCTGTGTGTTTATAGGCGCTAATCACAAAAAGGGCTTAACCGATTTTAATTCAATTTACATTTTCGTGTTGTAATAAGGGCCACTTATCGTTTAAGGCTATTTTATGCCTATTGGTGTATAAAAATAAACTGTATTAATTGTAAACAATTTTACATATTATAAATAGCAATGTAAAGGTGTGTCTATTATTAATTTTATCAATCCTAAGAAATAGACCACAGTATATTCAAGGAACTTCTTCACTTTGAAGGGTGAAGATGCGGGCGACTGTCCACTTTTCCCATACCTTTCTCAAACTTTGCATTGTTGGCACTGCATTGTTGGTTCGCGGCACATTTCATTCAATTTCGTTAGTTCAAATCAAAAATTGTATTTGTTTATTTGGTCGCGCCTTTAAAACAGGGAGCTTTTTCATACACTGCTCTGTTGCCTTTTGAGTATTGTGTAAATATAACAGGATTGCTTTTAAAGCGTTTGTCGCTTGACAGCCGCCAATGCCGTATTTTAACGACTTTAAAACAGCACCTGCGCAAGCAGCGAATGTGACAGAATTTTGCCGCCCCTAAAATCCGCCACTCTAGGCTCCAGCTTACTTAGTCTGCCAGGCAAATCCGCCATTGAATTGACAAGAATACGACAAGACAAGAATATTGACAAGAATTGAGAAGAATATATAAGATACGCTGGTTTAGATTCGTATGTTCGGTTTTATTTCCGAAGAATCATTTATTATTTGTATTGACACATAATTTAACATATTTTCGATCATAATTTTTTTTTGTGGATCATTTCGCACCCCCTTAGAGCTGCGCCTGCTGTGCCAAGGGGGGAAAAGAAGTCCCCCTTTGACCCCCCCTCGCTACGCAACTGGTTTGATGGCACTAAACTAGTTTATAGAATTAACTGTTAAATAGTTATTAGCATTAAGGAATACTTACTCCGGAAGATGGTTTTAATAAAAAGCTAGTTCTTATTTAAATAGGAATACTAAGGAAGGCAAAAGGAAGGCGCGCCTGATGTTGATCTTGTTCCTGTCTTAAAATCCATAGACAAACAAAATATATCTTTCTTCTATAACTAGGCAAAGTAATTTATAGTAAAAATGTTTCAAATATTTTGGCAAATATAAGGTAATTAAGTGATATGTTTAAATACATATCTTCTGATGATAAATTAAAAAAATGGCTGGACATAGACACGATCCTGCTACGTCAACATTTCTACATTGACGTTGGTCTTTGATTTTTTGGCGTGGGATTCGCCATTTTGTTGACGGTCCTTTTATAAGGCAGTGATAATAGTAGGGAAAGTAATATAGTCCACAAAAAATGAATGTTAAAGGAGATACTTACAGCGAAGATATATTTGATTACATTAAAGTAAGCGAAGATGAAGATGACATTAACGCTGTGGAAATTCCCTGCGAACATGACGGCACTCTTCTCCTTTCAACGCTTGTAGCGCAGTTTCCCGGAGCGTGTGGCCTTAAATATCGACACCCTGAAACGAAATCGATTAGAGGTATAAGACTAAACGATGGAAAACTTCATCCTCCAACAGAAGCCGGATGGGGCAAAACCTTGTATATTTGTGTATTTCCCAAAGAAAACAAACGTAAGATGGATGATGTATCATCAGAAAATTCAGCAGCGAAAACCAAACGCTTAGAGAAAAAACTTACTTGTTCCGACTTGATTTGTCTCGGTTTGCCGTGGAAGTCTACAGAAGAAACTATAAAACAATACTTTGAACAATTCGGTGAAGTAGTAATGGTTCAACTAAAAAAAGATAAAAATGGTTCTTTTAAAGGTTTCGGCTTTATCCGTTTTGCCACGTACGCTTCACAAATGAGAGCTTTAGCACAAAGGCATAACATCGACGGCCGTTGGGTTGATGTGCGCATCCCTAACTCCAAAGAGGGTGTAGTCCCACAGATGCCATGTAAAGTCTTCGTGGGCCGATGTACTGAAGATATGACAGCAGATGATTTAAGAGAATATTTTTCGAGCTTTGGTGAAGTTACAGATGTATTTGTACCACGTCCATTTAGGGCATTTGGGTTTGTAACATTCTTAGATCCAGAAGTTGCACAAAGCTTATGTGGCGAAGATCATGTCATTAAAGGTGCTTCAGTGTCAGTGTCAAGTGCAGCTCCCAAAATCAAAAACAAGTCAAACCAAAACTGGAAAGATGACTCATATGGACCAAACTGGGATGGAAACCGATCTGGCCCATCTGGCGGCCATAACAATGGAGGTAATAGTAACATAGATTCTCTTAACATGCAAAATTTGGGGATCAACCCTAATGGTGGAGGGCCACCTCCTAATTTTAATTTACCAATAAGTCTTGTCGCTGCTGCCCTTAATCAAGCGGGATGGGGTGGATTTTTAGGCGGTCCTGGTAATTCTGGACCTAACAACTGGCAAGGTGGGCCACCTCAAGGCAACTCGGGCAAACATTGGAATAACAACCAAAACTGGGGTCCAAATGGACCACCACAGCCTTGGAATCATGGTGGTCCAGGTTGGAATGGTAAAGGCAACTGGAACCAAGGAAACTGGTCAAATGGACAAGGAAATTGGGGAGGTAACAGTGGGGGTGGCTCTGGCCAGTCCGGTTCGGGTAGTGGATGGAATAATAACAAGCCCCAAACGTGAGGTGAGACTTCCCTAAGGCATTATACCAGAGATGTTTGTATGATAAGATGTATTTTAAGTAATGTAAAGTGATAACCTTATCACATCTTCATATACATTTTTATTTTCATAATTAATAATATTGTCTGCATACAATAAGTGGATAAACAAAGTGTGTTATTTTGTGATGTATGATGAGGGACTTTAGATAAATAAAGATGTATGATAAATGAGATGGATGTTTTAATTCTGTGAATTTAACTTAAGGCATGGTAGTAGTGTTGAAAGAAGTGCACTATATTTGAACACAAACCCAACAAGTCTGAAAGTAAGTTCTCCTTAACTAACTATTTGTCGGGTACTGGGTGTGGAAGTTAACTTTTGTCAGTGAGTGTAGTCCAAATTGTAAATAGAAAAGGATGAGGAGATCCATGCTTTCTGAGTGAGTGAAGTGCAAGACAAGCCTGCTGCTTGCGTCCATCCGCTGAGAATGAAGAAGGCTGCCTTTGAGCCTCTACTGCTACTTCAATGTGGTGAGTGTGAATTGGAATGATCAGTGATGTCTTTTAAGATTATGTGCCTTGGCTTGTATCAGTAGTTCTACGCTGATTGTAATTTCACATTTGTTACTTAAATAACTTGGATTTTCCTAAAACTCTCAGAAGTTACTGTTATACCAGTTGAAGGTATGCAGCCTAGTATAGGAAGCTTATTGATTTAAACATGAATAATGAATTACTTTCCTTACTCATGTTTGACATCTTGGATTGGATTATTCAAAATTGTCTTAAAAAAATTGTATTACTTGAATATTTTTTTCAGGTTTGGTGACCTGTTTTAGAAAGAGGTGATCCATAAAACATAAAAACCTTGAATGCATTTTATGGTAATATGCACAGGTATGTCAGTTCCTATTTATTTATTTATTTTATAAAAGTAAACAGGATGTGTTCAAAATGTTGGGTCCTGATCTATCAGTTCATTTAATTAAATGAGCTATTTTCTCACATAAAACTTTCCAGGTACCTCCTCTTTGTAGAACCAAAACTGATTAACTTATAGACTTTATGTTCCAATAGGAATTTATATATTTGTAATGTATATGACTCACTTATTGATAACAAGTCCAAAAGGAGCAGTTAATAAGGTTTTTTAGAAATATTATTCATAGTATATTACAATGTCATATGTTTTTGCTTATTTTTTAATAGCTTAACTAATTTACATAATTTTCAGGTGGAGCAAAGTTTTGGGTTCAAGATAAAAAAATCAATGCTCATTAAATTGTAATTGAAGAATTACATTGTACAAATAAATAACACTGATGTTTCTTTTAATAAAATGTTTATTTACACAGACAATTGTTTTTTCTACAGAAAGATTAATCACAACTAAACTCGGTTGCCACAAGTTTGAAACAAAATAATTATGATAAAATGGCAATTTGTAATACAACTTGTGGCATATCACAGCAAGCATTTATAAAAATAATCATTTGTCTTCTTTGAAAAAAATCATTTTAAATAATGAGGCTGGAAATTAAAGATGTAATGCATAGCTCATTTTCAGAAGTAATTCAATTATTGATTTTTTTTATGAGATATGAATTTGTGTGAGCAGTCAAAATTATCATTTGTTGACTATGTAGTGATATTGACATAGGATCATCTTATCTTTAAATGAGGCTCTTTAAAACTGATAATGAGTTTGCATTGGGTCCAGTAAATTTCTCATAGTCCACCAACCTTTTTATATATATTGTATCTAAAAAATATAGATAGAAAACTATTAGATTTTAAATGAATCTTTAAAAACCTTATCTACAACACCACAAGGCCAGTTTGTATTATTCTGTTTTGAGAAATGAATATCGTAATTTTGCTTTTCATAGGGTTATTTCTAAAAAGCCTTTCGACTGCATGTTCGTTAATCTATTTGTAGTAGTATTTTTTGATTGAAATGAAAAAAAAAATGGTTACTCCCCAAAATACCTACATACAACGTTTATACCAATACAAGGATTTCACATTTTGTGTTATCAGAAATGATACCTGTTACTATCCAATTACATTAAAACAGTTACTATCTGAACCAGTACTGTCTCTGATAGCGTAAAATTAAGATAGACACTATTTAACTTCAAAATAGGTATTTTTACAAGTGGTTTACCGTGACAAGACGCACGCAATATGTCTATAATACTGAACTATTTTATGGTGGGTAAAAAGCTGCCAACTCATGCGTCATTAAAATACCCGAGTCAATGTACACTTAATTGGAAGATTTAATTGTAGTAAGATAATTAATATAAAGCAAGTTTTAAACTAAAAATATACATTATTGTGATGCCATTATAACAATCCAAGTTGTTCATAATTCTAGGACTCCACTGCACATCCTGTTTATCCATTCAAACTCAAGACTACAATATGTAGTAATACAGGCCTTACTGTACTTCAAACTCACAGTATCAAATATGACTTCTCAAATTCCAAAGGAACTAGACTAGCAAAGGTATATGCGAATTTACACAAATATGAGCCATAGTTGTAGTAGCCTAACAAACTTAATAACAAATGAAATATCTTTTATATCAAAATATACACAAATTTATCTGTTCTCTCTATGAAATTCTATCAATTTTACATCAGATATGATTTAGAAGGTTCATATACTTGGATCATGTATTCACTTTCATGGTGCTGTTTGAGTATTTAATATAAGGTTATTTAGATCTGGTGTATTGACATATTATACGCAGTGTAATGACTGAATAGTCTATTGACTATGAGTAATGTGTCTCTGCCTGGTATTCCTGCAGTCAAAGGGAACGGTCGTTGTCCACGATCACGAGCATATCGTATTACCAAGCTAAAGTACATATGTATAAGGGTGAAATACCAGAGTACAAATTGTCAAATCAACAGCAAACATTCATTTAGTAACATGTGTGTTCGCTTATAAAATTTGTTACTCTTCCACATAAATGAGTACAGTAACTCCATATAATTAAATATTCTTGCATTATACAAAAGTGGATTCTCATATATGAGGAGAAGACAATAGCAATTGATATGCTAAAATCCACTGTGAACACATTCTATTCATATATTTATCATTAAACATTCGTAATTGCAAATAATTTGCTCTTTAAAGCATTCCTATCCTCCGAATATCTATAAACATTTTAAAATTAGAATAGTTTTTTTTGGCGAAATTTACAAAATATGCATAATATCAACGGCAGGATTAATGATACATAGTTTTAATCACTAATGAGATAATTGAGTTTTATAGGGCATGATATATTTCTACTGCGATCCTATAAAATGTATATTAAAACGATAGTAAAACTAAACCTTTAGTTTCTTGGCGGGGCGGAGAGCGTAGGCGAGGGTGAGCTGTCGCTTGGTGGCGGCGCGGCGCGGCTGCCGACGGCCGTTCCATTCCGCCTCCATCTTCTGCGCCAGCTCAAAGTCACTCTTCTCCTGTTCGATCAGTTTCTCGATTCTCAGCTGCTCCCGCAGTATATTCTTAACATCACAATTTTCCAATGGACTAGACAAGTTTTTTACAGCTAAATTTAATTTATTATTATTAATAGTTTCAGTAACAAGAGGTGGGCTATCAATCTCACTTTTCGCATTTGGTTTTTTTGAATAACTTCTCAAATAAACCTTTCTATCGGAAGACACCTTTCTATCCTTAAGTTTTTTCTTCGGCGTAACTTCATTTTCGTCCTTTGATATACTTCCCATCGACCGGGTGCGTCGTAAAGATTTCTCGGTGTTCAATTTTCTTATACCATCAACTTTCACTGCTTGCTGTTTTCTGTTTGGGACATGTTTTTTAATACTATTCAATTCATCTGGCGTGACACTAGGACTTACAATATTTTTTTTGTTTCGAGTCCTTCCTACACCTTTCTTGGGAGTTTCCTTCGAAGAAAAAAAAACATTTAACACAAAATAATATGTGAAAACGATAAAATAACTGTTAGCTTGTTCAATACCTTCTTTACTCTTAAAATGTTAAGTGCAATAACAAAAGCAGAAGGTAGTTTCTGTTCTAAGGATAGATTTCTGAGACGGCACAGGCCTTCTAAATATTGGTCTCGGGTTGGAGGATCTTCCTGCTTCTGAGGAGTATTTTCTAGCTCTGCTCGCACACTGGGCACGCGTAACGGGAAACTTTTATTAGGACTGAAACTACCAGAAAAGGCATGGTTAAACACATACACTATTGACATTGTGAACTAAAACTTCTAAAGGTTTAAAAATATCTGGCTATTGAATTCAACATTCTATAGTATGTATTACCTAGTCGGTGTTGATCCATCAATAGGTTTAAAGTAACATAACTCTTGCTGCATTGAATCAACACTGCCTGTTTCTAAATGTCTATTTTCCACATTATTTTTATGCTGCAATATTCCAGTATATGGCAGAGGAAGTGATACTAATAATGATTGTATCATACTTTTAGACTTTGTCGCATTTTTATTTTGCGGTGGGTCAGTTTCTTTGCTACTACTAGAACTTTCAATGGGTTGCATTGTCTGAAATTAAACAAAAATTTCAAGTAAACTCTCTGACAATTTATTATGAAGTTGCTTTTGCCTGTGACTCTGTCCACATAGAATAAAATAAAACAAACATGTGTAGCCTCTAAGTTATTCGAGACTATCCTCTAAATCTATGCCAAATTTCATCAAGATCCACTCAGCCATTTAGGCTATAAACTATAACAAACATCCATCCATCCATCATCAAAATTTTCACATTTGTAATATTAGTGAGATGGTAAGATTTAAAAAATATGAACTACAACTAAGGCAATTTCATTAGTAGCATGATACCTTTGTGGAATTATCACCATTCTCTTTATTCCAAACACCAACACCATTTTTAATTTTTTTCTCCAGAAAACTTTTTAAGAGCTTTCCATAGTTAGGAAGTATTTCCGGAGAGGGTCTATTACTAAATTTATTTGAAGTGACTCTTTGAGCAGTTCCCTCATTGCTTTGGTTGTTATCAGTTGAACTTCTGAAAAAATTTAAATCAATAAATTTCAAGTACCTTATGTGTAGATTAAATACCCTACTGGACTATAAGTTTTTTTATTACCATCATTTATTATTTACTAGGGCTAAGAGAAATGAGTTTTAATTCATGTGTGTTAAACATCGGCCTTTTAAATAGAAGCACTTCATCATATTTGGCTAATATGTTATATGGTATATGGTAACCATAAGGTTACCATATGTGATGGGTATTTGACTCAATCATTAATTATTAATTTGCAAGTATGTTTAGCTTAATTACTATAAAAATAAAATACACATACTCCTTTACTGGTGCTTGTAATTTTGATAAATAGGTATCTATCTTTCTAGCTTTAAGTCTTGGTTTTGTAGGAACATTTTTAGAACATTCCCTTTTATTAATTTCAGGAACTGTAGCTTCAGCCGCATCTTGAATTTGTTTCGCTAACAGCTCATCTTGTTTTATCCGCTCCATATACCTTTGTTCAGCTTCAACTTCTTCAGCTTGTAATTTTCTGTCATACATAATAATTACAACATATTTTTAGAATAAACAATTTCCTGATTTTTCACAATGACTAAAATATAAGATTTGAAAATGTGCTACTTTGAGTTTTTAATAATTAAGACAACAGTTAGTTTTACATGAAATTAAAAAAAAATACAACTCTGATTTTTTGTACAGTGCACAAACTAATGGTTGTAAACTGGTTTCTAGCAATTGTTTAGTAAACATTTGTAAGTCTCAGTCACATATTCAGAAAAATTAAAAAAAAAACCCACTTTATGAGAAGTTCAGTTTCAGCCAAATGTTTCTGTTCAAGTCTAAGACGTTCAGATCTTAATCTCTTCAATTCTGCTTCATATTCTAGTCTAATTTCTCCCGGTACACTTAATCCAGGTATTGGTATATCTGGAATTGTTAGTCTATTATTTTACTTCAATATAAGAAATTGTGAAAATAACACGATTTTCTGCTTCTACAATAAAATAGCAATATTACTATTTTTTCTTCTGGACATCTTACCTTTAGGTATGTTAATATCATCCCCTTTTATCTTTTTATCTATTTCATGTGAAAATTTAGTTTTAATGTATTCCCAAAGTTGCAAATTAACTAAGTTCTTTTGTTTTGTTGCTGATCTTAGCCAAGAACCAATGCGTAAACGACATAGAGGACAACACAAAGAATTATTTTCTATGCTACCATTAAAACAACTTTGACAAAAATCATGATAACATGGTAAAGTAACAGGTTCTATAAGTATTGAATGGCAAATTGAACAAACAACATCATTAATTTCTAATTTTTCCAATTTCAATAATTTATTTTCAATTTTAGACAGCCGCTTCTTTGACTTGGCCGCCATTTTTGACATTGTTTTTCCATTTTGTCTGTGATTCTGTCGTTACCAAAGAGCATATACCCTCTTTGCCATAGTTAATATCTTTCTGGATTAAAGAGAAAAGTGGCTTAGGTTGAAAAAATCTCTTTAAAAACAAGTTTATGTTAATAATACGACTGTAGTTTATTCATTTAACTAAAGTAATAACTGTATGGTGATTCTTTTTCTGTTGGTTTTAAAATAAAAGCACAAAATAAACTTTTCTTTCACAAGCTATTGGAACTTTAATTCAAACATTGTAAAATATACACATTTGTTTTATAGTAAAGTTTAATTTTGCAGTTATAATGGCAAAGATGTCTGTATAACATTGATAGTGTTATTTGTTTTATTTGTAATACCTCCATGACTTTAACAATTTACTTGTTTTGTACATGGAAATGAACGTCCTTTTTCAATAATTTATTGGCGATTTTTGTAGTTTTTATGTTGGCAATGATGGTAATTACTTCAAGTTTCAGGAAAACCAACATTACAGACGTAGAAGCCATGTTGATATTTTCTTTCTTTTTTCGTCATGTACCGACTCACATGTATTTGAGAACGAAAAACGATTACTAGTGGAATCACAAGAAATAAAATATGGTGGTTGTTGGAAGTTTTTAGATGGTGGTGTTCTTTTGTTCTAACAACTTTTGTGGTTGATTCTAATGTTGAAGTGCACATTGTTCAATTACTAAAAACATAAGACAAAACGTCTTACGGAAATGTCTTCTATGCATTTTGTGGTTCATCCTTTGCCTGGGACAGAGGATCAATTGATAGACAGGTACGCCTGTTATTTCTGTTATTTAGTGGACTCCATTATATATGTCGACAAATTCTATGCTTGGTAATGAGTAATAAAAAATTGATCGATAGTTAACAACAATACGTTTCTTGACATTATGAAAGGAACTATCGTTTCTTTAAGCTTCTAGAAATATTTTGATAAGTATCTTCGTATAAATCCTATTACAATTTTCTATTTTTTCTTGAATACACTAGATTATTGAGATCCCTAATGGCGTAATCTAAATCGACTTGACACGATGCCGTGATCATTTTGCGAACCCCAAATATCCTAGAATAATATCTGAACCTTAATTTAAAATCATAATACCTGTAACAAGTTGCGTTGACGCCCATTATTTCTTAATACACCTTCAAAATTCTTACTATTTATCCATAGTCGGCTATTTTAGATTTTAAGTTTATGTAATGTCTTTATTCAAAATCTATGTTAAACCTATATATCTGTTTTTTATTTTCAAGTCGACTCTGTTAAAAAGCAATAATATGATAATCTATAATCTTGTAAAGGGTACGCGTTGTAAAAGTTACGCAAAATCATACTTCATCAAAAAAAGTACCCTTTATTTTATTGACTAGAATGTTGAATTAAAATAAGCTCAAATATTTGCAATGTTGTTACACATTTTGCACAGACTAGAAAGATTTACAAATGGTTTCTATTGACATATTGCGATTTTTTTTATATCAATGAACTATGTACATTAAATATTTTTATCTTGAAATTCCAAAAATAAAATTGAGAACTTTCCCTTTTTAGGGTTTTACAGGAAAGTTCTCAAAAAAAGTCCACTCTTGATGATTAACAGTGGTAGAGCCCGCTTTAACATCTTCGCATGAATAGGTTGGCTCGCCCGGTGTCATATCACGACCACACAGAATACAGCAAAAGTGGACGCAATTCCGCGTTTCGTCTGATTAGTGTGGTGCCAGAGGCCTAATTTTCCGATTTTCTTAAGTGGAAAGGATGGGAAGGAAAAGTGGACTTGACGGCGGAGACTCATAGGAAGGGGAAATGTCCTCTTTATGTATGTCGCCTCCGTCAATTAAGGGTAGGCAAAGCATCTGCAATTGCGGATGTTTATGATCAGCGGTCGCTTTCCATTTCGGTGGATTCAGGTGACCGCTTGCTCGTTTGCCACCTTATGTTATAAAAAAAAATCAAACTGGTGTTAACTATATTGGTGTAATAAAACTTGTCCTAACTGTTGGTTGTTGTCACAATGGTGGCGACACTGTCAAGTGTGCTGCAACGGGAAAGAAACCTAGTTGATCACTCCATACTGTCACCACCAACACAAAACAGACATCTGTCATATGTATTACTGTGCCAATCTTCAGTACTATTAGCAGCAAGTCATATAGTGTCTAGTGCCCAAATACTAAAATGAAATTTAGATACATGCTTAGTAAGTGCCGCAAACAATTTAAGGAACATCAACATTTTAATGGAGTTTATGGATAAACTCCATTAAAATGTTTATCCATAAACTCCATTAAAATGTTAAGTCGTGCATGACTTTATCATTTAAGATGCAGTTATACACATAAATATTGTTTCAGTATTTGATTGTAAGCAAACGAATGAAAAGGTTTTCATAGTGGTCCAATAACGAAGTCTTGAATGGAAATTGTCCTGTCAAACAATATTTCCACATAGTTTGTTAACTCTCTGCATATAATAGTGCGAACAGCCTCATCCCTTGGTTAAGTTTACTATCAGATTACATTCTTATAAGCCGATATTAGACGTTCAATTATTCTAATGTAACATTTAATACATTCTACTTCACTATACATTTTTTGTGTGAAAAAAATTTTTGAAGGATAGTTTGAAGTGCTGATCATTCTAATCACAATTTAAACAAATGACTATTATGATTTCTTTGCTCATATCTGCTATGGGTTAGATGGTTGTGGATTTGTTACATACTTTTAAAGGATAGAGGACAAAGGTGTACATTAAAACCCCTCACTCATTTAAATATATTTTTCTTTCCAATTTCTTATTAAATAAGGGTGTGAAGGGAATGAGAACTTGAATTAGCTTGTGGCACACACATTTATCACATGAAATGCAGAATCACTTCCACATCACACCTGTATTTTGTGAGGTTATGGTTACTTTGGTTGATGGAGCCATTTGTGCAGCCATAAAATAAAGAATCATTGTTATTTACTATTTATTTCATTATAATACTGAGAAGAGAGCATTGGTGATGACATTTAGCCACTTTGTAAAGATGTGCATCAGTGGACCACAACTAAGCTAAAACCCTGTTGCATTCACTAAATACATATCCTAATCAAATAACTGTTTAGACTTTTATAATAACTAGTTGGTAAAATTTAGGTTATTCAATATCTTATTCAACAATACCATCAAGGGTGTTGCCAGCTAATAATCTAGGCTTTGAGGGGGGCTAGTAGTAAAAAATACCTATTTTTATTCGTAAGATACACAATATTTCAATTATTTATGTAAATCCCAATGTTTAGTATGTATTTTATATTTATTCTGTTATTTAAGGGGGTAGCAGTCCTACCTGACCCCCACCCACTTGTTATCATGGCCACATATAATTTACATCTGATTCCATGTTATTTGTTATTTTTTAAAGGTTTTTCTCTTTAATTTTTAGCTTTTCAAGAGTGTGGTTTACCTTTGATTAATCTGAATGACTTATCTGTCCATATTCTCCAAATTTTCACAAAATAACTAAAAAAAATCAAAAGACGCAATCGCCGCCCTGTGCAATTTAATGTTTCTCTATTTAGTTAATTTTTGCTTTGGATCGAAATAAAGGATACACAAAAATAAGGATTAAAAGCGCGAATTAATAATTTAAAGTCATACAGAGTTGAAACTGTGAATGTTTGGTTTTAGGTTAAAAGAAGTATCTGAACGTTGGAATCGATATGGGACAGGGGCTGGATCGTCAGCGCTCAGCACGCTGCGCGGTGTGCGAGCAGTGACCGCTGGCCCCGCTCACATCGCTTGCCTACTTGACGACGGCACAATATGCCGCGCCGCATTCTCCATCATCCCCGACAGGCTCGACTTGAGCAAAGCGGATGCCAGTAAGAACGGAGGCAATGGAGGCGGAGGAAGTGGCGGCGGAGGGACGAGTGGGGGGAAACAGGGAGGCAGCAGTGGCGGCTGCGGTTCTAGGCAGCAGCCACGGACTAGAGCTCGAATTATGAGAAACTCGATCCGTGCAGCACCCAGTTCACAAGGTATAACTTAAAGAGTGTTGTGAAACCAAGTAAATAGCAATTTCATGTAAACTAGACGTTTTATTTAATTAGATAATGTCTCAGGATCTACGAGCCGTGCCACTGGCGTTATTATAGGCGCGTCTAGCTCCGGAAGGGTCGTATCCGTTCCGGCGCCTTTTGTGCCTGAAGATTTGGTAACACAGGCGCAAGTTGTACTTCAAGGCAAAAGTCGCAGTCTCATTATAAGAGAATTACAGGTAAAACTTAAAACTCACATTATTTTAATACTACTATACTACTTTTCTGTCCTTAGTTTCAAATTGTAATTTACAAATTATCGATGATGACGACCACGTAAAGTTAGTATACGCAATAAATGTTACACAGCGTACAAATCTTGACGTGAACCTGGCCGTAAACAACTTGCTGTCCCGCGACGACGAGGAGGGCGAGGAGCCGGAGGGCGGCGAGGGCGGCGACGGCTACGTGCCCGAGGACCTCATCTCGCTGCTCGACAGCGGTTTCCACGCCACGCAGCAGGACCATTCCGTTATCATCGACGCCGACGCGATGTTCTCCGAGGACATCTTCGGGTACGCGGCTATCAGAAGGTATACCTGTCGTGCTACGCTCCTGGCCTCTTCTCCACAACCCTTAGCGAACTTAGAACTCAAGCCCCGATCTAGCACGCTGACAAGCTTACGCAGTTTCTGTTTTGTGTTTGTTTTGTTATTGGGTGTTGTTTTTGTGTAGTTATCTGTGTGTTAGTTTATATGTCCAGATTCTAAAAAGCCTCAATACAGTCAGCGAGAATATATCAACAGTCATTTAAGTAAATAAAGAAATAAAAATATCTGGACATATAAAAACAAAAAATTAAAATGGGTTACTTTTAATGTAAACAACCTGGCAGTCGTAACGGCGGCGGCAGCAGCAGCAGCGGCGGGCGCGCCGGCGCCAGCCG